AAAATGAAAGGAATGACACACATATACCCATGTACAATCAACTTTTATTGACTTTCCTGCTTTACACAGTATCCTTGCGCACATACCATTTCCTATTTATCAATCATAAGTACCCTCCTGTACAGTCGCGCTCATCTCATCTAATGAATTGCTTAACTCTTTGAACTTCTTGCGCTTCTTCTACCAGCGAATTTCCCATGCCCATAGGTCCCATTCCAGACAATGAGGTGACCAACCCACAGGCGAAGGCATCTTTACTATCCCCGCCTGTCCTCTGCGCCCTACCAAAAGGCGCTTGCTCGCCGTGGCCTCCAGAATCGGCCACCAGTACCTAACCGGGGATGTACAAGGTGCTACCAAAAGTGCAGGGGGTACTGACACTGCTTTATGTGATTAAACACCTGACCCACTAACGCTACTGGCGGGAACACATAACCCTTTCCATACTTTGCCAACTCCTTGCCAAAGGTTTGCGCGAAAAAAATCCACCGCCCTTGCCTGCCTGGTGGGAAACGGCGCTTTAAAATTGGGTAGTCTAGCATTAGATGGCATGGCCATACAATCTATCCCATGCGGACCCAACTCCAACTCCAGCGTTTCCCACGCGTCCTCTGTGAGTGCCATGTCTACCTCTGAAAATGACCTGGATGGCATATCTGCTGGATTATCTGCTGACCGTACGTACGACATAGACAGGGCGCAATTCATCCTTAAGGTCAGGGAAAAAATTTCCTTCAACACGTCGAACATCTGCTTCGACTTCCTGCCCTGTGCTTTCCATGCATGAATTACTGCCTGGTTGTCTACCTGGAGCTGCACCCTTGCATCCCTGCACCTATCTCCTGCTGCCTCCATTACATACCTCACCGCCAGCGCCTCCTTAATATTGATGTGAAGAGCCCTTTTCCTCTGAGACCACGCATCACCTAATACTAGCTGTGAGTCCATACCTGGGTCTATCACACCCCCCCATCGCGCATTCGATGCATCGGAAGCCAACTTTATGGTAAGATGCCTCTCCTGTCTCCATGGGAAGGACCCCTGCCAGCTTTCTAGGAATTCCCAGTGCTCAATCTCCTTTCTGAGGTCCCCCCTTATGTAGACCATCTGACCCTTACGCACTGCCTGCGATATTGCCAAATTGCATTCCCTTGTGAACAACTGCGTCCCTGGGACTGCCACAGCAAAGGAGATAATTTTGCCCACAAGCTTTTGCAATACTTAAACGTGCACCTTCCCCTCGCTCAAGATTTGCCTTCTCAACGTTCCGAACTTTCCTTTCTTTTCCTCTGGGATTCCAAACGCCATAAGGATAGAGTTTATTATCATACCCAGAAAAGTGATGATTTGAGTCGGAACTAACACTGACTTTGCCAAGTTTAGGAAATAACCGAGCCTGACCAATATTGTTACTAATAGAAAGATTGCTTTCTCGGCTCTCCTAAAGGCAGTGATCTCATCTACCTCGGTGGGTTGGTTCGGTCTGGTCAACTGCCCTGCATGCCTGTCATCAATGTAATGGGTGGAGGGTACTCCTACCGCTCTGACATAACTTGTTGCTGCTAAACCTAGCGTATTATAGACCCAGGCCGACAAGGACC